AATAAACAAGGGAAACGGGTGTTCAAATTGAAACAAGGGAAGCCGGAACGATCTTACCGATTTGCACTTGTTTTGAAAGGCAATGCGATTTACTTTTATGGAAGGAGGTTGTTTTGAAAGACCTTGCTACGCAAGGTGACACTTCTCCTGCTAACAGTGATCATTTCATGAATTCACTCTCAACTCGATTTATGGGTAGTTCGAAATCTCATTGCTCTATATTTTTACTGGGCTAAAAATGGCTTCAAAATTGAGTTTGCAAGTGTAGTCACACAACTTATGGGCAAATACCCAGCTCAAAGTCCAAAGATCAAAGCAGTTTAGCACCTTCAGGCAGATTACCAATGCCTCTTTCGTCTCTCTTTCCTATCTGGGATGTATATTTAAATTCACAGGCTTATTTTCCACTCAGCATGATTTTAGAAACAGAAATTTGATGAGCATCATACATCCTTGGGAGAAAACTGGAAAGCCTGTCGAAAAAAACTGTAGAGACGTAGAGTAAATGGATGACAACAGTGAGATTCGAACTCACGCCCCGAAAGACTAGATCCTGATTCTAGCACCTTAGACCACTCAGCCATGTTGCCTTCATGAGTTATTTTCCATGGTCTGATCAAGCAAATCGCCTACAAACTGTGTTGAAGAATCCAGGTTGCTTTTAATATGTTGAAATATGGCTGATAATTGTATTGATGCAATTTCTTGAGTGACCGAATCTATTGTGTATCTTGCCACCCTCCTTGGTCCACAGATTACAGAGATCAGGATATTTGACAGGATAGGTGAAACCAAAGGATTGCCTGACTTTCTATCCTCCATCCAACGTATATGTCCTAACCTAACAAGTTTCGAGTTGAAAACAGATGGGCTCTCTATACTTGCTACCCTCAAAAATTTACTTGGTGCCCTACCTCACCTGAGGCGTCTCTCCCTGGTTGCTCAAATAAGTCCTGATTTACTTCTTGCAATCGGAAACCTTCTCAAGCTCCGATATCTGGAATTATGGGATGATTACGATAATCAGCTATCTGCTGTCATGTTGGAATATTCAGTCCTCTATCCCTTCGTCATCTTATCTGTCGCTTACTAATCACGCCTCGTGCGTGCCACGTCATATATGTGTTCCTTGCTTGCTCACATCCTCAGTGTTACAGCTTTAGGCCTTAACTCAAGACCAAGGATCAGTCGTTCATGCTTGGGTGTAGCCTACAAGCAAAGTCTGCTTCAACAAGCTAAGACTTAGTCTAGAGTCTGCTTTAACAAGCTAAGACTCAGTCGGTCAAGAGTCTGCTTTAACAAGCTAAGACTCAGTCTGGTTCTGATATAAGCCGCAGCTTATAGATCTGGTTCTGATATACTACCAACATACCCACCCATTGAAATCACTAATCATTTTGGTATAAAATATACTCAGATTTTTGTACAGGTACAACATATGTGATATAATTAGTTGTTACTACATCATTGCATACTCGGCATCGCCCTCACTGTCTCCCCCCCAGTATGTCCTTCGGGTTGGTTTCCTGCTGTGCGCACTCTGGCATCTCCATCCCAAGTGATCATCCCATCAAACTGTTTGCTTCGGACTGGAACTGTTAGTGACAGTATGAAAGTTAAAATGATGTATAACACACAAGAAACAATCAAATATCTTGTGCTGCTTTCAATTTTGTCATCGTGGCTAAGGTTTTAGACTTCCTTCAAGTTACCTTCGTCCTTGGACAAACGAGCCGTGTTAATATGCTACTTGGCATTGCCGATGCAGTAATCAATGTGAAAACTAATATTGGATTAACAGTCGCAAAGAAATCAGCATACCAGCCTAGAGCAAATCAAAGCTACTTGAAGATGTCCTCTCGTCCTGCTTAATGCATGAC